GACAGGCAGGTGGGGATCTGGTGGGCGGGACTGAAAAGAGGGAGAAATCTCCTATACGACTCACATCTCCCAAGGGACATTGGGTCCAAAATGGGTATTTGAGGAAGAGTAGACACAGAATTCCTAGTTTGGCTATTATTTTAATTTTATAAGAAAAGAGGTGGCAGGCTCGGCCGGCGTGGCTCCGTGGTTGAGCGTCGGCCTAGGAACCAGGAGGTCACAGGTTTGATTCCCGGTTGGGGCACATGCCCGGGTTGTGGGCTCATTCCCCAGTAGGGGGCGTGCAGGAGGCGGCCGGTCCATGATTCTCTCTCCTCATGGATGTTTCTATCTCTCTCTCTCCCTCAACCTTCGTCTGCAAAATAAAAATATATATATATATACTAGAGGCCCGATGCGTGAAGATTCGTGCAAGAATGGGCCTTCCTTACCCTGGCTGCCAGCACCGCCTTCGCTCTGGCTGGAGCCACCTTTCTGCCTTCCCACGCTGCCCAGAGGTCCGAAGCGTCTGGGGAGGTGCAGAATGCCTGTGTTCCGCCTCACCCCCGGCCACTCTGCATATGCAAATTAACCCGCCAGCTTTGTTGAGTTAATTTGCATACTCACTCCTGATTGGCTGGTGGGCGTCACGAAGGTACGGTCAATGTGCATCTTTCTCTTTTATTAGTGTAGATATTGTAAAAAGTCGGCCACGTGCAGGTTGCAAATGAAATGCTCTCTCTGCACGGTAACCCCCCGTGGTTGCTGGGCAGGTGGGCGCGGGGCCGATGAGCCCGGGAGACACTCACTGTTGCTGGCGGCGGGCGAGGGGGTGAAGTGCAGGGCGACCTTCGCGCTCTTGAGGCGCGTCTGCCCCCAGTAGGCCACAGCCTGCAGCTCCACGCTGTAGTCGGAGTCCGGCTGCAGGCCCTCCAGGACCACGGAGTTCTGGGACTGGGGGACAGGTGGAGGGGTGCCCCGGTCACAGGCCACCCCGCCTCCCAGCCCCACCCCCCTGCAGGAGGCTGCTCCCCCATCCAGAGTCAGAACACGGTCTCCTCATGCTCACGGATAACTTTCTAAGCTCACCCCTTCTTCCTCTTTTTTTAATTTTAATTTTTAATATATATATAATTTTCAATCCTCACCTGAGGATATTTTCCCATTGATTTTTTGAGAGAGTGGAAGAGAGAGAGAGACACAAAGAGAGAAACATCGATGTGAGAGAGACACATGGATGGGTTGCCTCCTGCACGCGCCCCAACCAGGGCCCAGGCCGGGGAGGAGCCTGCAACCGAGGTACATGCCCTTGACCGGAATCGAACCCGGGACC